ATCAGCCGGAGATGACTGCGTCATCGTTCTTTAGGAGTTTCCCCGGGAAGGATGTATAATGCTCGTCACGTTTGTGCATCCTGTACATAGCATGCCGCGGAGGAATGCTGCGAATTTGTGCGCATTTTGTGCCCATCTCGCACAAGAGACTTCTTACTCGCTTACTACATTCTTACTACATTCTCCCCGCGTATCAATATAAATAATACTTTTCGCAAGATAATAAAAGTACTTGTTAAGTACTTGTGTGCTTAAAATATAAAATGATGAGTTTATTTCTCCTTTCGAAAAGAAAGTTACTTGTCAAAAGCTTTTCATATTTTCGAACGAAATACTTGGAAAATTGAGGAATATAAATATATTTATAAATTTTTTATAAAGCACACACTTTAATCTGTGCTTTGTATCAATAATTTGTATCAGATTTTAAGATAGAATTCTATTTGTAATTTTGTATGTAATGTTTATTTTTATGTATGTTATATATACATTTTACATGCGTGTTTTTTTTATTCTTTAAATATACATAAGACACATAAGATTATAAACAGAAATCTATTCGAAATTCCAAAAAAATATATATATTGTTTAAAGATTTAGTATATTATACATAGTATAACTATATAGTAATTTTATAATTCTTATTGTTAAATAATTTTATATTCATTGATTAATGCTTTTCAATAATAAAAAAATATTGTTAATTATTAAGATTCGTTATTTACTGTTTTTTATTGTTTAAAATATCATTTTCTATTGTTTAAAGCATATCTTGCGAAGTATCATGTATAAACTTAACGTAGTGATAAATCACAATTCTTTTATCGTGTACATATTGCAGCTTAGATGTACTGAAATTATCAAATTATTACTTGAGAAGGCATGCTGCTATTATTGTCGATTGCAATGTTCGTTTACGCGTTACGCGTAATTATAATTGCAATTCTCATGCAAACCACATCGTTGAAAAACATAGAAAAATTTTTTAAATAAAACTTGTCAGTTTTAATAATTTTAATAGTTTTAATAATTTTAATAATTTTAGATAATTATTAAATTCATTTATTTTTCAAATGCAATTCTTTTTATTTCCTCGATTCGTTTGTTTAACGAATTATATTTCTGTTCGTAAAAAGATCTAAAAAAATTTCCTAAGAATCCTAAAAATTTATGTCATATCCATTTCATAAATTCCGTGTATACTTTTCTGTTTATTAATGTATGATTAAATCTATGATTAGATTAGATCACGGGTTATGTGGAATTCGGCTTCAACAACAGAAGACAAGTTTTTCAGCGAATCATTTACATCGGAATATGTCGGAATTCTTCTCGCATTGTGTGTGTACGCGTTGTGAACTTCGGTGATGTAAATGTCGCAGAACTATGTGATCGCTACGCACGATGTAAGAGAACAAAGGCGAAATTACGAATCGTTGTATAATAATAATAATGACAATATCCATTCTCGTGTGTGTTTGTATTTTTAGAATGCGTATGTTGTAACGTTTTTTCTCTGCGTATCGATATCCCGGATGATAAAATATGATCATAATTGGGAAAAACAGGGGTATAAAAATACACGGCCACAAATCCTACCGATGCAGAAGCATACCAAGATATTATCGAAGAACGAAGATTTCAATTTCCTTATTATTACCGAGTGTTACATCCGTGTTAACAGATTAATCGTACGATCAACGAAATTCACGCAATACCGGATACAGAATAATCTTACAGGATACTGACGCGCGTAATAATTTATCTGTCAAATTAAAAAGATTACTATGTCATCCTCGAGTGTTTTGAACGGTTTAATTATATCACGTCGCAATTGTAACATCCTTTTTCTTTTTTTAAATTTAAAGCAAAATTTTAATTTTGCTTTATAAATAATTTTGAAGAAATCGTGTATGTTAAGTTTTAAATTTAATACTTTGATAATTGCTGTTAATATAATTTAATAATTTCCAATGAAGATATGATCATCATTACAACTTTTATATGGAAATACGTAAATATTAGTTTAGATCTCTGCTTTATATACAAAACATAATTTTTTAAAGTATAATTTATATATAGACAAGTATCTTTAAAAATAAATAATACGATAAATGTCTTCAACATTGGGATGTATTCAAGATTTTTTCTCGAGAGAGCTTATCAATTTTGTTAACACATAAACAGCAATTTTTTGCGTTAATGATTTATCTTTTTGAAAGAAGGAATTAGACTTTAAAACTTGGAATATTTTTTTGTTCCTGATTTTGAATTTAGAAGATTTATTTAGATTTTATAAGTTATAACTTTAATTTTAATTTGAATTTTTTTTAATTTTAGGAGAATATAAATCTTCCAACTTCCTCCCTTCTGAATATCATGTCCATGTTCATGATCTTCAGTAATTTACACAATATAATAATCTACATAAAAGAGAACGACCTCGTCTTCGACTAATCGAGTCTCATAATCTGTCTGATTTTTTATAAAAAAGAAGTATCAAGAGCGTTTCATTATACTAAATAAATAAATATAAAAGTGAAAAGACATATTTTATAAATCTAATTATGTTTCATGTAAATTAATCTCGAATTCTTGTATTCTCAACACGTACGTATACGCAATAAAATATAAATTTAAATGAACGTTTATATATATATATATTTTTTTTTTTAATTTAAATAAGTTTAGCGGATCTTCTTAATTTATCTAAATCACTTCGCTCTTTAGAAAGTTAAATTTCCCGCGTTCGTCATCGATTCGAGACACAAGAATCGATAGCCGACTATAGCGCCGCTTCACGCAAATGGAGACGCGATCGACTGATGACGCAGGGTGTTCCGGTGATTCTGGATCTGGTGCTGAATTCTGGAGGCTATTGCGTTCAGATTTTCGTCTTGATCCATTCAATTTTATCTGAGCCTCTTGCGAAATAAGACACGGTAAGTGGAACATCTTTATTGTTCACTAATCTGCATTCCTGTAAAATGCGCGACGATTGTTTTCCCGGATGAGAGGCAAGTATGGCAGAACACTTAGAACACGACGATAGCTGTTTCCATCGCGTTCTTCCTTTTCAAATGAGTTTTTACGATTTTGATGTCTTGGTAACGAGAATAGTTTTTGGCACTTATGCTCAGAAAAAGTTCTAATCTAAGATCGCCATGACCTTATCTAGTTCATGTTAATTAGTACTTTGCATCTAGCACTTTTTAATCCTTTGGAACCCTACATGGATACTTCGAGTCCGGACGGTTTTTATTCAAAGAAATTTCTTGCACAATAAAATACAGGTATTTGTTCTAGAAATTTGAAAGTATATCTGTGAATTTTTACAGATTTTTCGAACCACTTTAAAAACATGAAAAAAAAAGTCAGACTCGAAAGACCCATGCAGAGCTACATATGATGCCATTTTTTCACATGAGTCACTAAGGGTTAATATTTTTATATTGGCTTCATTCAACAGAACGTTTATTTTATAACTATTAAAAGTTTTTAAAGTTGAAATTGATTTGTTCTTTTAAATCTAAAAGAATAATTTAATCAAATTTTATCAAAACAATTAACAGGATGAACAGTCTACTGAACATAGTTATTACTGTTATATATATATATATATTAAATCCTTTTTTTTTACATATTTTTTCTAGGTAATTTAATACTTTGCAAAGATGGCAGACTCTGATGATGAATATGATAGGAAAAGACGGGATAAATTTAGAGGTGAGAGAACAGAATCATATTCACGGGAACGTAGAGATGATCGCAGACGTGACGATTGGGTTGATAGGTATATATGTATATATTTAATCTTATTAGATATCAAATTATATATTATTAAATAATTAAATATTAAATATCAAATTATATGTTATTAATATCAAATTATATGGCAAAATTGTTATTTTACTATTTACAATATGAAATTTGTTAATGTTTATATTCTTTTCCTTTTAATCTTTTTTTCTTTTATAAACAAAAAATAAAGAAAATATTTTGATATAAAACAATTTTTCTAATTTATTTTTTTTGGTTGCTTCTTTTGATGTTACTGTTCTAGTCACACTGATAGTGATTCTTATAGAGAGTGGTCCAGTCGTCCTAGACAACGTCCAGATTATCGGGAATATCGAGGTGGTGGAAGTGGAGGGCGAGATCGTTATAGCCCTGCAAGATCTCAAGACATGGCACCACCTTTGAAAAGAATGCGGTTCGAATGGGATGACAGACCAAGATATGGACATGATTATTATGCTGGTGGCAGTGGTGGTGGTGGTGGTGCTGGTGGTGGTGGTGGAGGAGGAGGAGGTGGAGGTGGTGGAAATTCATGGAGTCCTGATAACTATACTTCTCACCATGGCAACCATCACTATGGCAACCATAATAATAATAGCAGGTTTGTTTGTTTAGTCTTAGTTTTCTCTTCTGAATTTTACTAGATTTTATGACAAATAATAAATAATGAAGAGAGCAGGATTTATGAGGATTCCGCCAAAACGGAGTCGTTTGACACCGAAGTTATTAGCTAAGTTAAGGTAGTATTTATTTCTGTAAGATGTATAAATCTCGCTGCATAGAAAAATGTGAAATAGCAAAATGAAAGAAAATTACTATTTTTCTTTAAAAATTTTTATCATTGTTTATTATTTAAAAAGAAAAAATATATATATATACTTCTATTTAATAATAAATATATAAATGTATAAAATATCTATTAAAAAATATACTATGTCAAACTGCAATATATCAAAACTATTGCATTTTATATTAAATAATTAAATATTAAAAGTAATACTTATAAAATATCTACAATATCTACAATATAATTATTTTCAGTCGGGAAGTAGCTGGAAATTTCAGTAATTCGAATGTTGAAACCCAGCCACCTATGATGTCATTCAAAGCATTTCTTGGTACTCAAGAAGATAGTATTACTGATGAGGAAGCGATTAAACGTTACAACGAATATAAATTGGAATTCAGGAGGCAGCAGCTCAATGAGTTCTTTGTCGCCCATAAAGATGAAGAATGGTATATTAATTTTTATATTCTTTTTCATACATTTTGGGGTTGCATCATTATATTACGCAGGATTGAACGATTGTTTCGCGGCATTTTTAAAATAAACTATGAAATATATTCTTTATGTTAGTGGTCTAAAATATTCTTGCTATTTCTTAAATAAATAAACGTCATTAAAATCAAAAGAAAAAAAATATATCATTATAGAAGATTATTGTTGGTTAGATGTAGAAATCTATCCATGCATGTATGCGCTACATGGTTACATGCCTGGAGGAGAACAATTTACAATTTTTGATAAATTGCAGATACAATATCTTGTAAATAATTTCAAACAATATGACCAGCTCTCTCTATCCCTACAGCATATCGCCGTCATCGCCTTATACCTTGGGTCATCTCGCTCGTTTATTTTCTCGTACGATATTTTATGAATTTCGCGTCTCGCGCATCGCTGAAGACACGAAGTGCCTGTTAGGTAGCTAAATATATTGCGAGCTGGGCGCGCAAAGCCCAAACATTGCTCGCGTAGGCCGCGTTCTAAACCCGTTATTTATTTTTACATTTGAGTACTATACTTTGTCGACGAGAAAAACTGAATGCGAGTAAAAATATGACTACAGGTGAGGCTCCATTCTGACAATGTTGATACTATCGATCATGCTTAAGGTACCGATCGTTATGACAGTACGGACTTATAAATCACGAAACGACAATCCGCGATTAAATAAAACTACAACGTTTTAAAAGATTGCGTACATATAATTTAATCAATATAAAGGGTGACAGTTGGAAATTTAAAACTTACTAATGTTTTATTTTTTACGTGGGTATTTTGATCTATGCGCGCTCTGCTATATAAGTAGTGGATGTAACATACTGTGTAAGACTTACATTGTAAGTGGAACATGGGAATTGTAATCGATATGGTATAATAATCCAAAATTTTTATTTCGCGGATATATGCATGTACATACATAATAAAAAGAACTAAAATCTTATATATTTATTTTTCCGTTTTCTTTCCTGCTGCATTGAAAAATTACTGTGTAATGTTTTACGTATCTGCATGCATGTATCACACATGAAAAGATGCGCAAAAATTTGATCTACGTTTTCATTCGGGTTGCCTTTTTTAAATTACAGAACTAGCTGCATCAAATGCAAATTTGAACTGAATTATACGTATGTGTGTTTCTGAACTTGTTTAAGATCTCTATATCGATTATTTTGCAAGCATCCACCTATCATGATTTTTTTCTATTAATCGCCAGGTTTAAAATAAAATATCATCCTGAGGAATCAGTAAAAAGGAAAGAAGAGCAAGTATCAGCACTCAAGGTAAATAAAATGTATAATGTATTTGTTTTTTAATTTTCTTACTAGTCTATTTGTCGAATTAACAGAAATTTCAATTTTATTTCTATTCTAGAAACGTGTGGAAGTTTTTCTGGAGTTGCTAAAATCGGGAGATATAGACAAAGTATCTGTTGATGCCGATCAAGCGGATTCGTTGCTGCATCTTTTAGATGCAGTAGTTATTAAATTGGAAGGAGGAACAGAGGAAGATTTACAGATTTTAAATGTCAAACCACTTAAGCCTATAATAACTAATAAAGATGTTTTGAAAGAGAAAGAAGATCAGAAAAAAAGATCCTCTACAGAAAAGAAATCTGAAAACAGGTATCATATGATACTAAATATCTTAAGAAAGATGAAATTGAAAAAATTGCATGCTAATAATTATTTATTTATTTTATTTTAGCGAGGAAAATAAAGTGGACGAATCACAGCATGATGAGAAAGATACTAAGAATGAGCAAAACGCTAATATACAAGTCAAAAGCTCAGAAAAAAATGAAAATGCAACATCTGACAAAATGAAGGAAAATGAGGATGCAGAAAGCAAAGAAGTAGAAGAAACTGCTGATAATGATAAGCCTTGTAAATATCTAAAATATAAATCCTATATAATGATTTATTATTTATGTATTATTATATTATTTTGTTGTATAGCGGAAAAACCAGAGAAATCAAGAAAGCGTAAACGTACCGATAGCAATAGCAGTAGCAGTAGCAGCAGTAGCAGTAGTTCCTCTGGTAGTGACAACAATAAGACAGATATAAAACTACCAAAAACTGAAGATTGTAAATATAATTAAATAAATTTATATATTTATATATATTTATATATTTTTATATGAACTATTATTAGAATTCATTATATTCATGCTATTTTAAACAAATTTATAATTACTGTCACAGCTGTGAACATAAAAGTAGAATCCAGTAAAGATGCCGAAGAAGAAGATGTTAAAACAGAGAATCAAGAAATTAAAACGGAAGTAGAAGCAAAAAGCAGTAAAAAGTCTACAATTGAACCGGAAGCAGTAATCGATTTAGCTAGCGAAGATAAAGAAAAGGAACCTAGAGCTTTGCATAAAACTAGCAGCATCTTCCTTCGTAACTTAGCTCCAACTATTACGAAAGCAGAAGTTGAAGCGGTTAGTTGGAATTTCTATTAATTAATAAATCTTATAAAAAAAACTCTTGTAATGTTTGAGTAATCTATATTTTTACTTTCAACCATCTTTTCACACGTTTTCAAATCAGCATTTATAATATTAAATACTTGTGTTTATCGAACAGATGTGTAAACGATTTCCTGGATTCTTACGTGTAGCTATAGCGGATCCGCAACCGGAAAGACGATGGTTCCGTCGTGGTTGGGTTTCTTTTGAGAGACAAGTGAATATCAAAGAAATTTGCTGGAGTTTAAATAATATTCGAGTAAGTTTGTTGTGTATGTTTTTGTTATTAAAAAAAAAGAATCTCTGTTCATTGTTATGTTTCTCGTATAGTTGCGTGAGTGTGAGCTTGGTGCGATAGTGAACAGAGATTTGTCACGACGTATTCGATCAGTGAATGGTTTAACGTCTCATAAACAAATTGTCAGACATGATATTAAACTTAGCGCTAAAATTGTTCACAATCTGGACAATAAAGTTGGATTATGGAAGGAAGAAAAAAAGGATGAAAGCATAATAAAGCAGGAAGATGATAAAGAAAACAAAACTGCTCAAAGTAGTAACGAGGTTGAGCAAGCTGTGAGTAAAATTTACATTTACAGATTTGTACATTATATATATTGTATAAAGTAGATAGAACTGTTTGAATAGAGAATTAATTTATATTCATGTAAAATTTTGCCTGTTGTTTTAGGCGTTTGGATTGTCATCTAAAAATCCAGTATTGAAAAATATAACAGATTATTTGATAGAAGAAGCTTCAGCCGAAGAAGAAGAATTATTGGGTATGTCAGGTGAGCAAGAAGAAGGTCAGTTAGGCGGCGATGGAGATAGTTCAATCGAGAGGGATCCTGTTTTAATCAAGGTAAATTAAACAAAGTTGAAAGTATAAAATTAAAGTCGAGAAAATAATTGACTAGAATCATATTTTACATATCAATGAACATATTTGTTCTCGTAGGTACTAGATAGATTAGTACTATATTTGCGAATCGTTCATTCCGTTGACTATTACAATCACTGTGAGTATCCAAATGAGGATGAAATGCCTAATAGATGTGGAATAATGCATGTGAGAGGATGTCCACCCACTGTCAAAGTCTCAAGTGCAGAATTATCAGAATATTGTCGTAACTTCGAGAGCAAAATGTCTGCTTTTCTACAACCAGTTGCTACTCTATCCGCTGAAGACTTCGAAAAATTAGGCGCGAAAAATGCCGAAACGTATCCTTTTTTTATATATTTTTCATCTGCGTATATACATAAAATGCAGATATATAAAATATATAATATAATAAATCTGAAAAATAACAATTAGTCTATATAATATTTTCTTAATATACAAACAGTGAGGTTGAAAAGTTTGTTCAAGCTAACACCCAAGAATTATCAAAAGATAAATGGCTGTGTCCTCTTAGTGGGAAGAAATTTAAAGGACCTGATTTTATCCGTAAACACATTTTCAACAAGCATTCTGAGAAAGTCGCTGAAGTAAAAGCGGAGGCTGAATATTTCAATAATTATTTACGTGATCCAAAAAGACCTCAACTTCCTGAACATCCTGGTAACAAGGCGCCACTGAGGGATGGCTCACGCGACAACTTTTCACCATATAATTGCACTCCGTAAGTACAACAATTATAAGCAGTTAACATACTTAAAAAGTATATTATTGTAATGTATATATATTATAAAAACATTCGATTTTACTCATATTTAATTTTATTCATAAAAAAAATAGATGAAAGTATATTACCATTAAGATCTTCAGCCAAAATGTAAACATTTTCAGATTCGGGAATTATGGTAGTGGATTCGGCAGCAACAGAGGCAATTATGGTTCCGGTTATAGTGGCGGATTTGGATTTAACGCACCGCGTTCTAATCGTGGCGGATTTAATCGAGGGCGGTAAGATAATTCTTTTTTTATGTTTCAATATTAATTAATAAAGTTTGCAAATAAATACTTGGAAATAATTGCATAATTGGTATATTTATAAGAATGTACACACATACACAGTTGACTTATTATTTTCACGATTGTTATAAAATCAATTAAGATTAACATTCAAAAGGCGCTTATATCCTTGGTCTATTCAAATTAGTAGATTGAACATGGTAATACAATGTTTTACAGGGCTGCTCCGGATACTACATCAAGACCTATTGTTAGTTATAATGACTTGGATCAGCCAGACATGGATGTTTAAGTTTTGTCGAATAATTTCCACAACATTAAACAATCATAAATAACATTAATATTATTACGGATTTTTTATATATCTATCTACAAAAGTTCTATAATAGATATCTTCTGGCGTAATATACATGCATTGGCACACAAAAGAAAAAGATGACGTAAAACAATCGAAAAATTATAAAATTGGCAATCTTTTAATCATGTTATTTATAATATAAATATATTTAATGCGTGTCGAGATCCAGTATTAGAAACAAATATAAAAAAATCTATCTGTGTATGTGTGTCTCTATATCTATATATTGAATATTAACAGGGTGAATGTTAATTAGATAAATATTTCAGGGGTTAATTTAAAAACTAAAATAAAAAGAAACATACACACGAAAATTGTTTAGGCTTTATTTATTATAATGATAGAGAAAGTGAATACACATTGTGCATTTAATTGAATTCAGAAAATAAAGCTTGAACAACTTATCATTTTTTTGTTTTGGGCTCTAAAGTATTTACTTTTTGAAATATTATATAATTAATCATCCTTATATATGCAGAAAAGATATTCCCCTTTTTTTAAAATAGTTTTAAAATCATATAAATATAAATTGATTTTTATACACAAGGTTATTTGATATGGACTTGAGGATTCATTAACGCAAATTTATAATATGAATAACCAATAAACCTATTTGTGTGTTATTCTCATAGTTTATTATTTTATTTTGTCCCACTTCCGTTTAAACCCTATGTCCGGTTGATCATATGTCATATAAAATCATAATGTTATGTTCAATAACTGTATTACATTTGACACAAAAAGAAAATGTAATATTCTTATAATATTCTTAATAATACATGTCAACAAGTTTTATTGTACAACTGTGATATATGTAGAATTTTTATTTTTAGGTACATCTTTCACACATGAATACATTACGCACCATTATACATAATGGAATAAAAAGCATATTTATATATGTACTTTTAATAGTTATTTCAGTTACATATATTTTACTAATTGTTTTGTATGTAATAGCGATATTTCTTTTATTTGTTTTAATAAGAATTTAATATTGCAGTGGCAGTGGCGATTTCCGACCAGTCATACATTATCGAGATCTTGATGCACCACGAGAACCAGATGAATTTCTCTAATATTACAGGAAGTATTAATATAAAGCTATGTAGACATCTTTTAGAGACACTTGAAAACAACAATTTTTTCTGTAAATCATTGTTCACAAATATGTATATTATATATTTCAGTATATATTTACAATTGCTAATTAACTTCTGAAGTAAAAATAAGCATATGTAACTATATTTATTTTTACTATGCTTTCTAAAAAGTTAAGACGAAAATAATGAACATTTAAGTATAAGAAAACGAGATTTGAAATATTGATTAACTTTTTTTTTTTTTTTTCTTATAATATATAAAACATTTATTATAAGATAAATTCAAATTGAATGAAAGTAAATAATTCAAATTAAATCTGGAAGAAATATATAAAACTGACAGATCGTGCACGACTTACAATTTATGATTCACGATTCACTATATGTGAGAAATTCATAAGTACTTTATATGAATTAGTTTATTATTCGTGTATCATTTATTACTCTCTTGAAGTGTTAAAATTATGAACGAAATTTTTCAAGGGAATTAGAGGACATGAATTAATCGATATGTATAAAATTACAAGTAACCAACTAAGAATTGCAAATATTGATAACCCTATCGAATGATAAATTTTTACTTATCTGCTACAAATTGCACATAAAGCTACATTATGTACTTTACATATGTCAATGTTTGAATGTTTTTAAATGGCAAATAGGTTTAAATAACAAATGTAATCTAAAACATTTTTCTTTTTTCATGCACAGAAGCATTGACTTATTCAATTTGTAATGCATATAATTATTAATTGTAAACACGTTTTAAACTTAATGGCAATACAATAAAAAAATTACCAGAAACTAAATGTGTTATTTCTTTATATTTCATTAAATATAAAAAATCAAAAAA